CTCAGCCCCCAGCACGGCCAGGCTGCCCTGAAATTGGAAGGGGCCCGAGTTGTTTCACAAACCGTGGGGATTTGGGGTGTTACAGCTGGGATCAGAAGACTGCAGGGGGTGGGGGGAACACCCCAGCCTTGCCCTAACTTTAGGCCTCGCTTTCCACCGGCCGGGAAGGCGCAGCCCGGGGGGCAAGGAGCGCTAAATCGGCATTTCCAGCGGGCTGTGCCCTCCCGGCTGCGCCCGGACCCGCACGGCGCCCCCGCACCGCCGCCCTTCCCCCGGGGCCGGGCGCTGCAGCCTCCAGACCCCGCACGGAGCCCGCAGTGCCCCGGGCCCCGCAGTGCCCGGAGCCCCGCTCCGCACCGGCCCCGCAGTGCCCCGGGTCCCGCACCGGCCCCGCTCCGCCCGGAGCCCCACGCGGGACGGGGCCGCGCCCGGCGCCTCCCGGTCCGGGCAGCTCCGGGGCCGGGGCCGTCCGATCCCCGCGCGCCTCACCCCGTCCGTCTGTCCGTCTGTCTGTCCGTCCTCTGCCCCCTCACCTGCCCCTCTCACCTGCCCCGCCTCACCTGCGCCTGCCCCTCTCACCTGGCCCGGCCCCTCTCACCTGCCCCTCTCACCTGGCCCGGCCTGCCCCTCACCTGCCCAGGTGCGCTCCGTGCCGCCCGTCCCGTCCCGTCCCGTCCCGTCCCGCAGATCCCCGGACCCCGCACGGGGACCCGGGCCGAGCGGAGCTCCCCGCACCCCCGCCCTTCTGCCGCGGCCTTTTTCCCGTCAAATGGAATATTTAGGAAACTTCCAAACGGGATTTTTTTTCCCCCTGGTAAATGGAGTGTTTAGGAAAAGAAGTTTGCTTTTGAAGCAGGGTATCTTTGCCTTTTAAATGGAGTATTTTGGGAAGAAAGCATTAAGTTCCTGGGCTTTTTCGCGGTTCAAAGCATACTCAGCTGAGTCATAGAACCACGGAATGATTAAGGCTGGAAAAGACCTCGAAGATCATCGAGTCCAAACATTAACCCAGCCCTGCCGGGTCCGCCACCAAACCGTGTCCCTCGGCAGCACATCCGCAGGCTTTGGAGCACTTCCAGCGACGCTGGCTCCCTGCTTCCCCGGGCAGCCCGTTCCCATGCTTGTCCATCCTTTCAGTGAAGAAATTCTCCCAAATATCCAACCTAAACCTCCCCCAGCACAACCTAAGGACGTTTGCTCTTGTCCCACATCCATCCATCCGTATAAATCCATATCCAGGCAATGATAACACAGGATGGAGCCAAACCCTAAAGGCAGCTCTGATTAAATCCACAGGCAGTTTTTTCTCTGAAAAGCATAAAAACGTCCCTGTTCCCTGGCTCCATTCCCGCTCTGGGTCACACCTACCCCTGGCAAGGGGCTCAGCAGCTTCTCCCTGGTCCCTCCGCAGCCTCCTGCCCTCCAGCCTCGCGTCTTATTTATTTTCCTCGTAGGTGGAGAAGTGTGACTCAGTGGTGAATCCTGGTTTCAAGGATCATACAATGCTTCACCTTTCAGTTTCAATGAACCAGAAAAAAAAATTGGGATTTTCCCTTCTCCTTCTCACCACGAACACTGTGGAAAACGCTGAACCCTGACTTTGGGCAGGCTGATTACACCCACAGCTCAGTCCCCAGCCAAGAGATTGGAACTGGACAAAATGTTGGAGATATTCACACAGAGACAAAACAATTCACCCTTTTTCTGGGCAAGAAAACCTTTCTGGCAGTAAGCAGAATAGCAGATGTGGCACTCCGGGGTCAGCACTCCCTGTGCTGGGTGAGATGGGTTTCCTTAGTGGTACCTGACCATTCCTGAGGTGTAAATCAAGGGACAGCAGCTCCTGGAGCAAAACACCCCTGGTATTCTGCTGTGTAAAGCACACAGTGGTAGGAAATTTTGGGAGCAGCCAGGAAGAGACACAGGCAGATATTGGGCTGAACTCCAGGCCAGGCTCTGAAGGATCTTTGATCTCTCCTCAGACAGGCCAGCACAAAAGCTCCCTGCATTCCTGCTGCCCACACCCCTGTCCCACAGGGAAAGGTCAGGATGCTCTGGGCTGGCTGTGGCTGTGGCTGGCTGCAGGGCAGCTGAGCAGGGGACAGCAGTGCAGGGGACAGCAGTGCAGGGGACAGCAGTGCTGGGAGCTGAGCAGGGGACAGCAGCACTGCTGCTGCTCACCCTCCTGCTGCCCAGGCTGCCTGGGCAGGGCTGGCAGTGCCTGGGCAGGGTTTTGCCCCTCCTGGCCCCACTGGAAGGACTCTCAAGGGGTCCTCAGGCAGGTCAGGGCTGGGCGGTTTAAAAAACGGAGCAAAGTGACAGAGCAGCCGGGTGAGGATGCTGAGCCTGGGAGCTCCAGCCTGGGAGAAGGGCCCAGTCCTGCCGGCAGTGGCCCTGCAGCTGTGCCAGCACCCTGCTGCCTGTGCCACAGCCTCTGCTGCCTTCCCAGCACCGACTCAGATGCCAAACGAGTGACTGTGCCCAGCCCTCTGCAGGCGTTGGTGGTTTTTTCCCTGCTGAGTTTCTAGCAGCGCGTGCTGAGGCGTGTGGCAGCACGCTGGGGCAGGCAGCTGACGGGAGAGGAGCTGCACATCTTTTTCCATGCTCTTGGCTGGGAAACTCCAGAGCTCTGGAGCTGCAGAGGTGATGATCCAGGGACAGCTCATGAGGCAGGATGTGCAGCCAGGTGTTACCTGTCTGTACCTGGTCACCCAAAGTGTTCACCGTGACACACAGAGCCTTGATCCTGCTCCTTCAGGCACAAACAGTTTTCTAGAAATTATTATTTTTATTTTTACTTCTCTCTGCCTATTTTTACCTCTATCTGCATTTTTTAAATCAAATGAAGAGATCTTTTGGCTGATAAGCTGTACTTTATGAAGTGAGGTACACTGAGAGACAGCAGCTCTTCCAGTGCAGTCTGCAGAGCACATGGAGGATGTGCAGAGGAATTCTCATACCAGCAGCTACGGGATTTACTTTATTTCAGTGCCAAATTAATATCACTATTTTATCAACACGATTGTTTGTCGTGATACCTGCAACAGCAGCAGCTGGGCTTTGTACTCCAGGTCTCTTGCAGCCCTTTGTTCCCAGCTGGAGAAGATTGCAGTCATCAAAACAAAAAGGAACCATTTTCTCTCCTGGGAACAGATCACCAGGTTCCCATAAGGCAAAACAAAATTATGCAATGAGTCAAGACAATGTCCTGGGCAAGTGGAGTCTTGCAGTGTGCTCTCAGCACTCACATTCCAGCAGGCAGCTCCGTGCAGGAGAGCAGCACGGAATGGTGGAGAGCTTCACCCCAGCACATCCAAACACCCCAGCACATCCCAAATCCCCCAGCACATCCCTGGCCTCGCCAGCCAAGATAATCCCCAAAATGATATAAAATCAGTTATAAACCCGACCTTGCCTGGGTATCCTCACATGTAAAATGGTAAAGTTGTGTTATAATCCTGAAAATCTGTGTATAAATATAAATATAAATACAAAAGGAGAGCAGCACGGAATGGTGGAGAGCTTCACCCCAGCACATCCCAAACCCCCCCAGCACATCCCCAAACCCCAGCACATCCCTGGCCTCGCCAGCCAAGATAATCCCCAAAATGATATAAAATCAGTTATAAACCCGACCTTGCCTGGGTATCCTCACATGTAAAATGGTAAAGTTGTGTTATAATCCTGAAAATCTGTGTATAAATATAAATATAAATACAAAAATAAAAATATATAAAAATATAAATACAAATACGTTTATAAATAAAATATAAATATAAATAAAAAATATAAATATAAATATAAATATAAATATAAATATAAATATAAATATAAATATAAATATAAATATAAATATAAATATAAATATAAATACAAATATAAATATAAATATAAATATAAATATAAATATAAATACACACACACAGTACCAGTGCTGGGTCATGTGCAGGTGTGAGTGGATTCAGAGCAAACCCCACTCTGACAGTGCAGCATGAATTGCTCTACTGCTCTGCAACATCAAATTCAAATTTCAGCCTGGTTCTTAACCAGAATTCTTCCATGAGAGAGGCTCTTCCTACCAAACCAACACCAAAAAAAGTTCCAAAAAATGAGCAGCTTAAATCCATCTGGGCCTCGGCGTTCAGGATGAGAGAATGCACGGTTTCCTATTAATGCTGCTCCAATCCTCTTAATGGAGATCTCGGGCTGGCTTGGGCACATTTATAGCTCAGGTCATTCCTCCCCCTGACACAGATAATGCTGGGCTCAGAGCCGTGGGGCTGCTGAGGAGGAGCAAGGGCTGTGTGTGCTGGGAGGAAGGCTCGGTGCAGCTGAGCAGGAGCCCCGAGCTGCACCTTGGGTCTGCCACCAAACCAGAAACGAGCTCCAGGGGGAGGGAGAGCAGGGGATTCCATGGACACAAGGAGGGGAAGGGGATAAGGAGAATATGCCCTGAAAATCTGGAATAAACAACTGCTGCTCTCTTTAGCTCAAAGCTTGAAGATGGAGATGTGGCAGTGAGAGGAAGGTGTGTGGATCTAGGTGCCTTCACTCAGTCTCACAGCCTCAGCAGGCATTCCATTAATTGAATCCATCAGCAGGTTTGCTGTGGAAGTGTTTGTTTTCTCAGCATTCCCCCTCTGTAGCTGCTGTTTTTCCTGTGCCCCATCTCACTGAAGCACTGAGCAGCCCCCACAGGCAGGTAACACAAGCCAGCACCACAAAGATTCATGTTCCTTCCCTCATAATCCCTTTTTTCCCCTAGAAAACCCTACAGGACGGGGAATGGGGCTGTGAGTTGTGTGTGCAGGAACCTCTGCTCCCACATTCTTTGACAGGGAGCTATTAATGAGCAGAAAGACCCTGAGCCCCTGGAGTTTGCTCCTAAATAGGGCACAGCTCGGAACATCTGAAGGTCTCTGGGGCTCATGGGTGGGAATCTCCTAATGATCTTTAGTTATTTTTATCTGTGCCCAGTGCTCAGTGCTGCGGGGCACAGGAGCCACTCGGAGATCTCCTGGGGAGGGCACGGAGCTGCCAGCCCTGGGCAGGGGCGGAGGAACAGAAAATAAAGTGCAAAAAAGGGAAGGTGGCACAGCCAGAACACCAGAGAAAGGCACGGGACAGCCAGAAGACAAACAAAGGACTTGGGCAGGGTTTTTCTTCTTTTCCTTCTGTTTTTAACCCTGCTTTCCAAAGGAAAATGGGACAGCAGTTCACCAACGCTGAAGGGGAGCAAGGGGAGATTGATGTTGCAGAGCTGCAGGAATGGTATAAGAAATTTGTGGTGGAATGTCCCAGTGGGACCCTCTTCATGCACGAGTTCAAGCGGTTCTTCGGGGTCCAGGACAACCAGGAGGCAGCAGAGTATGTGGAGAACATGTTCAGGGCTTTTGACAAGAATGGGGTAAGTGATTAGTTATTTTTATATTTTATATATTTATATAGAAGAATATATATTTATATATTATGTATATTATATATGATATATAATATATATTATATTCTATATAGTAAATATATGATATATATAACATATAATATATTATATATGTTATATATGTTATATATATTAGATATTATATATATAATATATATTATATGTATACTATATTATATGATATATATAATGTATATAATATATAAAATATATTATATATTATATATTATATATAGATAATGTATTATATGTATATAATATATTATATATGTTATATATATAACGAGGGACCAGCGAGGGCAGGAGAAGGAGCACAGGCTGGCCTGGATTTATCTCCTCAAATCTCCACCTAAATTAAGGTCAGAATGTCCCCTTAAGGGACTAAGGGTGGATTAAAAAGTCGAAACTTAGGCTGTCACACTTTGAGGCCCTCAAATAGCCAAGGCTCCCACATGGCAAAAATCTTTCTCTGTAGAGGTAGAGGGGGAATTACAGTGCAGGAAAATCCTTCTCAGGCTTGTTCTGGTTGAGAAGTGTCTGTATCAGGTACCAGCAGGTGGTCTGTAATAAAATACTGATTTTAGCTTTTCTTTCCAAAAGCAGAGGGATGCTGAACGATTCAGACATGCTGGCTCTGATTCCCTTTGCCATATTTGTCATTTTTCACTGGGGAAAGCGGGGTTTGTGGTTTAGGCTCAGCCCCTGCACCCTGCACTGCTGCTCGGGCAGCCTGGCATGCTTTGGGCTCCCGGCTGCCCTGGCTGAGCAGCACTTGCCAAAGGCTGCAATTATTCTTTCCTGATCATATTCCAGCTGTGGGGATGTTTGTTCCTGTGTCAGTTCAGGAAAAGGGGGCTCAGGTTGTTCATCTCTGATCAACTCATCTCCCTCAAGCTCCCTTTGAAGACAGGGTCAGAATCTCATGGAAGGGGCACCAAAAGTCAGCTTGTGAGACAGGATTTTAACAGGCCATGGGAGATGTTGGCAGGTCAGGCGTGTCCCAGAATTCCAAGTTGTAAAAAACCAAATTCCTGCAATAAATGAAAGGTTCAGGTGCCAGATTCCATCCTGAAATCTGTGGGGGAATGGTAGCAGAGGAAACTGTGCATAAAAGATGAAGTCCCACTCCAGATTTGCAGGAGTTTCCCTCCCAGGACAGGGGCTCTGTTTTAAGGGCTGCTGGTGCGTGCAGGATGGGGAGGAGGAGCCCAGCCCGGCTGCACAGGGTGTGGCTGTGCCTGCTGCAGGTCCTGCGCTGCTGCAAACCCTGCTCAGAGCGCCAGGCAGGCACCTGCCCCCCGCGCTGCCCCTCTGGCAGTTCAACCCAGGCTTTCTGGCAGCTGTAAAGCGCTTTTCCATCACCTTCCTGCCCAGCCAAGTGTCACCCAGCTGCTTTTCCACCCACCACCTTCCTGCCCAGCCAAGTGTCACCAGCCACTGTTTGTGTGTTGCCACAGGACAACACCATTGATTTCCTGGAGTATGTGGCTGCCTTGAACCTGGTTTTGAGGGGGAAGCTGGAGCACAAGCTGAGGTGGACGTTCAAGGTGTACGACAAGGATGGCAACGGCTGCATAGACAAACCCGAGCTGCTGGAAATCGTGGAGGTGAGCGGGCATTGCCCAATCCCTTCTTTCAGCAACCCCTGCTCTTTGGCAACGTCCTGAGGTGGATGGGTTTGTGTAAGCAGGTTTCGGGGATGCTGTGGGGCTGAGCACGAGTCCCTGGGCTCCTGCCTGAGCTGAGGCTCTGCTCATCCCCCAGCTGAGCTCAGGGAAGGGCAGTGCCAGGCTGTGCCCTCCCTGCAGGGTCCCTGGCCAGGAAGGTGAGCAGCTGGTCACCTGCAGCAGCAGCAGGTGGGAAAGCAGGGCAGCCTGTCTGGGCCACCTCCCATCACAGTTTTGAGGTCAGCCAGGAACTGCCCAGAACTGTGAGGCCGCTGCTAATCCTCTCTCTGGGAAGACTTGAGGCAAAAGCCTTCAACCTAAGCAGGAAAGGGAGCCACGGGCAGGTGGAGCCACGGGGGGAGCAGGTAAAGTCTGATCCTTTCCCGTGGCAAAGGGGAGCAGAGACTGTGGGTAAATATGAGCTGAGGCAGGCTTGGTCTGCAGCCTGGACAGGCTGGGTCACTGCAGCCTGCCTGGCTTGGGGGACAGCACAAACTCACCCCCCAGGCCTGTGATTCTGCCCTTCTGTGACACTCTGCTTTGTCCTCTGCAAAGCAGCCCCGAGGTCTGAGCAGAGTGCAAGGAGAGCAGAGGGCAGCAGCTTCAGAGCAAATGAGGTTAATTAACGTGCAGCCCGTGCAGGCGTGAGGCTCCACTGCAGACCTGAGCTGCTGAGGGGCAGATCCTTCCAGAAGGGTTAAACCTGTGGAAGAGACCTTCGCATCCACGGGTGCAGCAGGGCTCAGTGCTTCCCCTTTCCCAGCCTTCTGCTCATTGGGGAGCTGCTTTCAGTCTATCTACAGGCTGAAGAAGGTGTGCTGGTCGGAGGTGGAGGACAGGACCCCGCTGCTGACACCAGAGGAGGTGGTGGACAGGATATTTCAGCTGGTGGATGAGAACGGGGATGGTGAGTGAAGCACAGGCTGCATTCCTGCCTGCTGGGAGCTCACCTGAGCTCACCTGGCCAGAGATCACCTGGCTCTGCTGTGTTCCTCACAACGGGCAGCTGGGCTCGGTTCTGCTCTGTCCCACTGAGCCAAAAGTGCTTGGTGGAACAGGGTGAAATCCTTATCGTTGTTATTTTAATGTAAAACACGGAGGAGTCTCTGCTGGGCAGTTTTGGTGAGATCCCATCCTCTGGCAGCCCCAGCAGGCACAGGGCAGGTCCTGTCCCAGCACAAGGAGCTGGGTGAAGAGGCTGCTTCCAGTGGGACTGGGACCTGCAGGACCTGACCGGGTCCTGGCAGGGTCTGGGTGAGCCCCTGCAGCACCCGGAGTGTCCCGTGGGGATGGGGCAGGGGGGAGGCAGCGTTTGATCCGACACTGGGGTGGGATCCTGCCTCCTCCTCCTCTCTGAGCTGCCCTGCTGTCACCCACAGGGCAGCTGTCCCTCGATGAGTTCATCGACGGAGCCAGGAAGGACAAGTGGGTGATGAAGATGTTGCAAATGGACGTGAACCCCGGGGGATGGATCATTGAGCAGAGGAGAAAGAGTGCTTTGTTCTGAGAGAGGCGGCTGTGGCACAGCTGAAAGGTGATGCTGAGCCCCAAGCGTGATCCTCCCTCTAGCCTGGTAACGACTTTCCTTTTTAATTCCACCTCAGCATCCCGATGAAAACCTGAGTTGTTTCAGCAGCCGTCTCTGATGTAAAACCCCGAGCACTGCTGGTACCCAGGGACTGTTTCTGGCCCATGAATAACCCTTGCTGTGTACACAATTCTGTGTTTGCCAGCTCTGCTTTTTGGTTACACCCCAAGGAACAAAGTTCTGGTGGCTTCCTGCACAGATCTGAGCAGGGTTTGGGCTGGGCAGTGAGGGATGGAGCCAGTGGTGCTGTGTCAGTGCAGACTGTGCTGGCAAGGCTCGCTCCTGCCCTTTCAGCACCCAGAGCAGCACAGGGTGGTGGATGGATGCTCAGGGGGGCTCTGGGTGTGTTTTATAGCATTTACTGCTGCTGGTGTCCAAGATAAAACCACCAGAAATGAGAATTGGATCAGAGCAGTGGCCAGGACAGCACACAGAGCTGGGGGAAACATCCTCAGGGCTGGGCAGGAGCAGCAGCAGCTCCTTCCTCCCCCTCTGGGGGCCAGAGGCTGCTCCTGCCTGCCCCGAGGCCTGGGGGCTGGGAGGTGCTGGCTGCTGGCACTTCCCAGCCCCTGTCAGAGCACAGAACACAGGCGTGACCCTTCCAGCCCCTGGTTCTCGGGAGCTTCACTAGAACAGCTTTTCCTGCCCTGGGAAGAGCGGTGAGCCCAGGAGCTGTCACTGCACTGGGGAGAGTTCGGTGTGGGAGCAGAGATGGGGAAGAGCTGAGCTGTGCTTGGCAGTGTCTGTGCCATGGAGGATTTGTGCTGCTCCACTGGCAGGACCAGAACCAGAAATCATCGATGGTTTGGGTTGGGAGGAACCTGGAAACTTCTCCATTTCCAATCCCCCTGCTCTGGGCAGGGATGCCACATCAGATTGCTCCAAGCCCTGTCCAAACTGGCCTTGAAAAGTGACAAAATTTCCAGTACAGTGGTTTTACACTGCACTTAGTTTAGCCCCAGACTGCAGATTCAGAATTTACACAAGTTGCAGGCTGAGCTCTGCTGTCCTCACCCGTGTTTCTACACAGATGTATGTGGGAAAAGAATTCGGGTTGAATCAATGTTTTGGTTCACCTTTATTGGATTTACTGTTTCATTCCAAAGAAAACCCCCCAGGAAAACAACATGAGCTTGTCTGTTCCATTTTCATTTTCCTCTGGGATCAGTGGGCCAGGTCATACCAATGAAACGATTTACAACCCCTTTTTTGTGGCCTTTAATTAGGACTGCAGTTGCTGTCATTAGCTGATTAGCGTGCTGGTTTGTGGTCTTGTCAGTTTTCCCAGTGTTTGAATTCCACGGGGAAGTGCTCAGGATTAGACACAATCAGTGCTGGGGTTCAGATCGTGCACATTTCCACTTGGAAATAGCCTTTCTATGAGTTCTCTGCAAACACGAGCAGTCTGTGCTGTGCTGACTTATCAGAGCTGATTAGGCTTGTGCTTCTGCTGCTCCGAGGCAGCCGGGCAAAGCTCTCTCTGGTCAATAGTTTATCAGCTCCAGGTCTGAAAGAAAAATCTGACTTCTGACTTGAGAGCCTGCATGAAAACATTCACATTAATTGATTTTCCAGCTTGTGAAAAACTGTTTTCATTGGAGGCTCCAAACCTCTAAGAATTCCTTGCATTTCAGCATCTCAACCCCTGCTGCCTGCACGGATTTAGAGAGGCTGTTTAGTTCACAGAATTGTGTTTTGCTGCTTCACTGAAATGCTTCCAATGCTCCAGTTCTGCTCACCGGGTCAGCCCAGGCTCTGCGGGGGCTGCTCGGGGACCCCAGGCCAGCAGCCCTCCCCTGGTGAGCACTTGTACAGACCTCGGTAGGAGTTTTGTAAAACACGACTTGAATAAAGACAGATTTATTAAAAGCTTCGTTTCCCAGTATCTGCTTGTTAATTAGGTGAAGAGCTGTGTCAGACCTGGCTGAAACTGTAGCCTGTGAGTGTGATCTATTGAATTTAGGGGAGGAGCTGGTGAGCAGCAGGGTAAGACAGAGATAAGGAGAGATGACGATGCTGTTGCAGAGCAGGGAAGGAGCCTCTTGTGTTTAACTTCCGTGTGATGACAGCAAAAACCTGAGTGTAATAAAAAAAAAAAAGGCAAAAAAAAAAGAGCAATGTTTCTCAAGGGAACTGGAAGCAGGAGGTTAAGATGAAGTGGGTGAGTGCTGCCATCGGGTGCCCCCAGTGCAGGACAGAGCTGAGGGTCCCAGTCCTGGGGCCTGGGCAGGTGGGATGGGGGTGCAGGGCTGTGTTTGTGTCACAGCTGGCAGAAGCCGTGGAAAACTGTTCCTCTTATCAATTGTGTAATCTCTGGTCGAGCAATGGCCCCGGCGCTATTTTAGAGCCCTGATCTCTGGCAGCTCCTCCAGCACTCGCAGCAGGCTGTTGATGTCAGCGCTTGCACAATCCCCCGGCCAGACTTAGGGCCCAGCCCCAATTGGATTCCACTGATCGGATTTCTTTCCGCTCTAAACTGGGCAGCAGGCTGGCTCGCAAAAGGCAAATGCCACCTGATTTTCTGGGCTGCCATCTGCTCCATCCTGCTCCTGCAGCCGGGCAGGACCGAGGGGAACAGCCAGGCTGGAAAGCTGGCTGAAAAAAGAGGGAACAGGAGCCCTCTTTAGGAGGCATCGCCTCCTAAAATCCTCCGGGAGAGGCGTCCCGGGGGAAAGCGGAGCAGCGGGGCTGGGAGGCTGCGGGCAGGGAGGATCCCGAGCACGCCGGGCTCTGCGCTCAGCCCCGGGCAGCGGCTGCCCGGCTTCGTGTGCAGGTCACCCCGAAGCACCTGCGGGCAGGTTCCCTTCGCGATGTCCTGGGCAAAGCCACAGTGACCTCCTGAGCCCGAGCCGGCCACTGCAGGCACTGCCGGTGCTCTCCGTGCTTTTCTAACAGCGCCTGTGCTCAGCTGTGCCGCGCCAAAATTCCTTGCCTTTCTTTCCTCCCTTTCCTTCTTTTCCACCCTTTCCTTCTTTTCCTCCCTTTCTTCCTTTATTTTCCTTCCTTTCTTCCTTTATTTTCCTCCCTTCTTCCCTTCCTGCCTTCTTGCCTGCCATTCATTCCTTTCTTTCCTTTTCTTTCTTTCCTTTCTGTCCTTCCTTTTCCTTTCCTTCCTTATCCTTCGTTTTCCTTATTTTCTTCAAAGTTAAGGTCACCTCAGAAGTTACGGAGTGTCTCGAGGGCATCACCCTTCAGGACCCTGCACTCGAGGATGCTCCGGGGTCGGAGCAGGGAACGGGGCCGGGGAGAGTCCGGCCTCAGGCGCCTTTCCTGGCCTCTCGGGCCGGGCACAGGGGCTGCTCCGGGGGGTTCGCTGGGGTTTGGGGTCCCGGGGCTGCTCCGGGGGGTTGGCTCTGGTTTGGGGTCCCGGGGCTGTTTTGGAGCCCCAGGGCTGGTTTGGGGGTTCTCTCGGATTGGGGGTCCCGGGGCAGGTTTGGGGGTTCTCTCGGGTTTGGGGTCCCGGGCCGATCCCGGCGCGTTCCCGCTGCTCCCGGCGGCGCCGGCAGAGAGCGCCGCGGGACGGGGACACGGCGGGAGCGGGGGGGTCCCAAAAACCGGGATGGGAACGGGATGGGATGGGATCCATGGGATGGGATGGGATCCATGGGATGGGATGGGATCCATGGGATGGGATGGGATCCATGGGATGGGATGGGATCCATGGGATGGGATGGGATGGGGACGGGATGGGACGGGGATGGGGCAGGCACAGCCCTTTCAGAGCAGCTTTGGCTTTGTAACTGCAGATCTGGCTGCTCAGAGCCGCTCCCTGCTGCCCCCGGGCACAGAGGGGAGGCTGCGGGGAGCTCGGGGGGCTGATGGAGTCCGTGCCCAGGGAGGTGCTCAGAAAGCCCAGGCTGAGCCCAGCCCCCTGCCCATGCTGCTGCAGGGCCCAAGGGCTCCGAGCTTTGTGCTGGGCATCTCTGGGGGAGCTGGTTCTGCTGCGAGAGGGAGTTACACTGTGAGTAAACATACACTGTGAGTAAACAGCTCAGCCCCGCTCTCACGAGGGGTGCAGCTGCTCCCTCTTGCAGGCTGTGAGTGCACGAGCTGCCCAGCCAGGGCTCCTGTGCTGTGCTTTGAGAACAGCCCCTAGAGCAGCTCCTCTGCACTCGTGTGAGCCACTGAATCTGTCCTGCTGCAAGAGAGAAGATGCACAGCCTGAAATGACATTGTAAATCATCTTTATTAGCTCGCCATAGGACTGGAAGTACAAAAGCTTCCAGGTGAAACTCTGTCCAGTGAAAAAGACTCACAGGAAAAATGGTCAGGAAGCTGCTTATGAATTGCAAACACCCAGTGCTAAATAACAAAACTCAGCTGGGCAAGAGGCCCTTCCTGGTGTCCTGTGCTGCCTCACCTCGCCTGGCAGTGCCCCTGGGGTGAGGAGCTCCCTGCAGGAGCAGCTGGGGCACAGCTGGGCTCTGGGGGCTGGCAGCCCTGCCTGGGCATGGGGTGCCCAGGGGGTGCCCAGGGCTGACCTCGGGCCCTGCCCTGAGCTGGTCTCACCCTCTGGAGCAGCTCCCCCTGCAGCACCCACACACACAAGGGGCCAGAGCCTCCCGTGCTCCTTTGCCAGGAGGTGACACAGCAGGAAAGGTCCTGCAGCTCCTCTCGGGTTCCTGCAGTGCTGATTCTGCTCCTCTGGGAGCACTTCCTTCCTTCCCGATGCTTCAGGGAGAAACATTTCCTTCCAGTCCAGGAGGTCGTTAAAAAAAGGCACCGTTCAATGTTTTAATGCTTTAAACAAAGCCACTGCATTCACCCCTCCCCTTTTGCTAGCTCATAAATGTTTTAACTCACGTTATCACTGTGACCAAACCATAACCAGTGAAGGAAGGAGTGACCAGAACTGCTGACTGCCTGCTCTGGAATTACAAATGGGAGGAGAAGGTTCAGATCTGCTTTTCCAGGACCCCTCTCACCGGGGCCAAGTCCTGGGCAGCCCCTGCTGGGCCCCGCTGGGGGGGTGGCAGTTTTGGGGTGTCCTCAGGGAGTTCCTGGCCTGCACAGCCCCGTGCTGCTCCCCTGCCCAGGGAGCTCTGGCTGTGCCCTCTCTGAGCTCAGCAGCAGCAGCGTCCAGAGCCCCGAGGCCGTCCTGGGTGGGTGTGGGCCAGCCCAGCCGTGCAGCCCTCCCTGCAGAGGCCTCTCCTCCCGCTGCCCGCGGTGTCACAGCGCGGTCCCTGCGCCCGGGGACAGCTCTGCCAGCGGGGAGAGCAGCCCCACGGCTGTGGGGAGGCCGGGGGAAGGCGTCCCGGGGGCTACTGGGCAGCCTGGGCGTCCTGCCCGGCCTCGTGGGGGTTCTTGCCGTCGTTCTGGATCAGCCTGACGATGTGGGTCAGGTCCAGGCTGCGCGTGAGGATGTCCAGCAGCATCTCGTCCTTCTGCACGCCCTCCATGAACTCCTCCAGGGACAGCTCGCCTGCAGGGCACCGAGCTCTGTTAAACCCTGCTGCTCCCTGCTCCCCCAGGAGCAGCACAGCCCCGAAATGGGGGCTCAGCCCCGGGCACTGTGCCCCAAAGCCCAGCACAGAGCCACCCTGGGGGGCTGAGGGCAGCCCGGAGGGGATGGGGGTCCCTCCCTCTGCCAGCCCTCCATCCTGCTGCTCTGGGACCCTGCTGTGGCAGCTGGGGTGCAGGGCAGGCAGCAGGGCCGTGGCACTGCCCAGGGAAGGGCCTCACCGTCTCCGTTGATGTCGATTTTGTTGAACACCATGTCTGTGAACTCCTCGGCCGTCATCTTCTCGTTGCAGCGGTTGATGGAGCGAATGGCCTGGGGGGACAAGGGGGGACAAGGGGCACAGGGTCACTGAGGGCTCTGCAGGGGGGTGTCCATCAGAACCGGCGGCCAAGTGACCAGACACGAAAAGCCAAACGCTTTTTCAGGGCTAAACCTTGTTTTCAGGCAGTTAGGCTCCTCAAGGAATAACTCCTTTCTAAAAGGCTGGAGATTAAAATCACCTCAAAGGGCCATCAATGCTTTACAAGATTTAGTGGGCACGCTGGGATAAGCCAGGAGCCATTCACCTCTGAAAACCCTCAGATTAACTTCAGGTGCTTATCTCAGCCCCAGTTTCAGCTCACAGGGCTAGGCAAGCTGCCAGGGCAGGACGAGGGGTGCTGGGTGTCCGAGGGGCTGGGGGCACAGCTGGCACAGCTCAGCAGCATCCTGGGCACTTCTGCCAGCTGACCACGAAGCTCATGGGCTGGCAGCTCCTGCTGCAGCCTCCCTGCACCTGCAGGAAGGGAGAGCTGGAGAGCTGGCCCCACTCACTTTGATGATGTTCAGCAGCTCAGCCCGGTCGATGCAGCCGTTGCCATCCAGGTCGTAGAGCTTGAAATACCACCTGAGCTTCTGGTCCACCTTCCCCTTCAGCACCAGGCTCAGGGCTGCCACGTATTCCATGAAGTCTATGTAGCCATCCTGAGAGCACAAGGGTGGAGGTGAAAAGAGATTAAAAGCAGATGAAGGATTATTTCAGTCATTTCTGAAGTTCCCCTGGAACTGGTCCCTCCACCCTGGGACCAGGGGCTCGTGGAGCTCAGTGGTGGAAGCCAAGGTTCCTCCTGAATCTGGGCAGAAACGCTGTAGAATGATGGAATTATAAATCATAAAGGCTGGGAGAGGCTCCAAGGTCAGCAAGTCCAGCCTCGGACCGTTGGAGGTGGGAGGGCAGGGCCTGGCTGGGTGGATCTCCTGAGAGCTGCCTGTGCTCAGGGAATTAACACGCCAGGCGTTAATTACCAGCCCAGAGCAGCGGCAGTTCCGAGGCCAGAGAGGTCTGAGCAGATGAACCCTGATAAATTGCCCAGCTCGCCCTGCCTGCACACACCCCCAGCTCCTCTCTGCCCCAGGGGCTCGTTCCAGGAGGGGAGCACACTCAGGGTGACCCAGCACCTGACATCTCGGGCTGGGAGCTGTTTCTGGGTCCCTGGGCCATGCCTGTGCCTGCCCCGCGTTTGGAGCACAAACACTTTTATCTTTGGCTTTCCTGCCGGTGTTTGCCCACCCCAGCTCGTGCCGCGCTCTGAGGTGCCCACCCAGGATGGTGGCACCGCTGCCAAGCTGCTGGCCCGGGCTCACAGACTGCCCCCAGACACTGCCTGTGGCACTCACAGCTCCCAGGAGGTTGCTGAAATCCCTCCTGCCCAGCACAGAGCGTTCCCGTGGCGTTTGAAGGGATTCCCTTGCTGTGGCTTGTGGAATTTCCCTAGAAGTGGCCCTGGGGACGCAGCTCATGCCTGGCAGAGCTGGGTTCAGGGATCTTGGGGGCCGTTTCCAAGCCCAAGAATTCAAAAAAAAAAAAATCCAAAAAACATTCCCAAAATTTTTATCTCTCTAAGAGTTTCATCCTGAACCAAAACATACCCGAAAAAATCCTCCCAAAAAATCACTAGAAAATTTGAAACAAATGCTAAAAATCATCCCAAAGTTCCCCAAAATTTCAAAAAAAATTCCCCAAAAAATTCCAGAAATCTTTCCTGTCCCACAGTTTCATCCTGACTGAAAACCTGCCCAAAAAATCCCACCAGCAGAGCATAAGCCAGGGCTCTGTCAATGAACAAAGGCACTGCCAGAGATCATCTGCTTTATCCACTGCTGCAGGAGCCAGATTAGGGACAAATAACTGCTGAGCCCCGCTCCCAGCAGGATTTCCTGTGCATCAATTCCCTTTCCAGGCAAGCATTCAAACCCAGCAGCCAGCAGGGGAAAGGCCAAGGCATGAACCAAACACCTGAGGGATTTAGGGCCTGATTTGCATTTTTGTCAATGGGATTCATGCCACTAAGCCCTTTGGGTTGCCATAAAATGGATTCCTCATCCCACAGGAGGTGCAATTTCAGGTCATCTGCAAGCAGAGGGGGATGCAGTTTCCTGTTGGAGACACAGCATCCATCTGCTTCCCAAAATCTGCTCTGGGGCTGCATTCCCAAATATCTGCTCTGGGGCTGCATTCCCAAAAATCTGCTCCAGAACTGCATTCCCAAATCCCAAAGCTCTGGGACTGCATTCCCAAACCCCTGCTCTGGGACTGCATTCCCAAAAATCTGCTCTGGGACTGCATTCCCAAATCCCTGCTCTGGGGCTGCATTCCCAAATCCCAAAGCTCTGGGGCTGCATTCCCAAATCCCTGCTCTGGGGCTGCATTTTCCCATCCCCAAGCTCTGGGTCTGCATTCCCAAATCCCTGCTCCAGAACTGCATTCCCAAATCCCAAAGCTCTGGGGCTGCATTCCCAAATCCCTGCTCCAGGGCTGCATCTTCCCTGCACCTTCCCAGGGCGGGTCCTGCCTCCCACCCAGCCCAGCCCAGCCCGGCCAGGGGGAAGGACAATATTTACCTTATTAAAGTCAAACGTCTCAAACATTTGCTCAACGTATTTGTTCGCCGCCGGACTCAGGTTCTTCAAGCCAAAAAACTGCTTGAACTCGTAGAGGGTGAGCTGGCCTGAAGGACACTCTGTCATGAACTTCTTGTACCACTGGTGGCACTCGGTGGTGCTCAGCTCCTCCACGGATTTCCCGTCCATGTTCCCCATCTCCAGCTGCTGGTCCCTTTGCAGCCAAAAACGGAGGGTTGTGAAATTTAGGGGGAAAAAAATCTCACAATTTTCTCGCCTTCAAAGCCCCGGCGTCCCCTGCAGTGCAGGGTCAGGGCATCAGGAAATCCCTGGAGCTGTACAGATTCCAGCAGGGATGGACACAGCACACTCGTCTTCCTGGCAAAACCCAAAAGCACAAAACCCTCTTTGGAAGGGAAGGTGGCTTTTAAGCACCCAGCAAATCCCTGCCCGGCCAATGAGGCTCGGAGGGGTGGTGGGCTCCTGCCAGGCATTAAGAGTTCAGGTTAAAATAGAAGAGAGGTAAAATGGGGAAGTCTTGCAGATTACAGGCCCAGCAGGAGATTAAGAGGGTGGAATTTTCTCTGTGATGAGCTAATCTCTTAATCCACTTCATTTATCACTTAAGGGGGGGGGGCTGGTGTCACAAGAGCAACAAGTTTTGGACCAGAACCAGAGTAGGAAAAATGAGAGAAAACCACTCTGAACCCTCTGTGCTGTTTCTAGTTTTACCTTCCCTTCACCTCAGTCTGCCAGAGGATTCCAGAGGGGCTCTAGAGCCTGGAATCAGGGAGGGGGAAGTGCCCCTCCATCTCCTGGAGAGACACCCAGGAGGGGAAATTTGGTGTGAGCAGACAAATATAGAAACCTAATTGCTTTGAAAGGTAAAGGTTTAAATCTGCTTTAATGGCAGCAGCAGGAAGGGGAAGGGCCCTCTCCCCCCAGCTCCAGGGGTCTGTGTCCACTCGTGGTGCTGCTAATGGAGTGTTTTCCCTCAGAATTGTCCCACACTCTGCTCACCCCAGTGCAGATAAATGCAGCTTCAGTTTCCACTTGTGCTGGATTCCCATGCAACATTCTCCACGTAAATACAACCAAACCCAGTGCTGTGTTCACTTTGACACACGGCATTCTGAGAGGTACTCGGGAACAAAATCAGAAAGAAGCTCAGAAAGAGACTCAGAGAACCTCAGAAAGAACCTCAGAGAGAACCTCAGAAAGAACCTCAGAGAGAACCTCAGAAAGAGACTCAGAGAGAACCTCAGAGAGAACCTCAGAGAGAACCTCAGAGAGAACCCCAGAGAGAACCTCAGAAAGAACCTCAGAGAGAACCCCAGAGAGAACCTCAGAAAGAACCCCAGAGAGAACCCCAGAGAGAACCACAGAGAGAACCACAGAAAGAACCCCAGAGAGAACCTCAGAGAGAACCTCAGAGAGAACCTCAGACAGAACCTCAGAGGGAACCACGGGCCAGGTCCTGGAAGTGAAAGGATGTGAGTCCAGGGTGTCCCACAGAGTTCATGCACAGTTTATATCAGTTTGTATCCAACACCTGCAGTTATCTAACAAGCAACAGAGGCCAGTGATTGTGCACCACAGTAAATCAGGAATAACTCTGCTAAAAAAAGCAGCATTACACAATCATAAAACACTCATGGAAAAGGAATTAAGCTGAGGGACACTAATTGGATGTGCTAATTCTGTGCTGGCCCTGTTGAGCAAGGTGAGCCCTCAGTGCTGCCCCGAGCCCAGCCCAGGCTGTGCTGAGCCGGGTGAGCTGGGCAGGGTGGGCACTCTGCAGTGCCCTGTGCTGTGGCACCCCGTGCAGCAGGGCAGGACAGGACGGGGCAGGGCAGGGCAGGGCAGGCTGGGCAGCTCTCACAGCAAAATCCACTCTGCATATTTTCCTGGGGAGCAGCGGCAGAGCCTCCCCACCCAGCCCAGCTCGCACACCCCCGGGACACTGCTGGCTGCTCTCTCAGGGTTTATTGCGGGCTGGGCTGCCCCGGCTAGGGCCTGGCGTGGTGGCAGGACCTCCACCTGCGCGTGTCCGAGCTCTGCAGCTGCAGGCGCTGCCGGCCGTGCCCCGCGCCCGCCTGGAAGCGGCAGCCACAGAAGGGTTTCTGTGCCGTGCAGAACGGGGCCAGCGAGTTGGGCCACCCAGGCTGGTAGAACACGAACTGGAAGGAGCTCAGGGGACGGTCCCCAGCGTGGACAACAACGGGAACCAGGCGGGAGCTGAGGGGAGCGGCCGGGGGCGGCCGGGTGCTTGGTCCGGGGGGTGGCTGGGTGACCTCCGGCTCTGCTTTGGCCTCCTCCATCCCTTGGCTCTCTTTGTCTCTGCTGTTTTAGCCACCTGTGGAGGAAAAGATCCAGAGAAATGCGTGGCAGTTGTCCCCAGCCCTCGCCATCCCCAGCAGGAGAGCCTGGGCACTCCTGCAAGGGAGTCAGGGCAGTGTGAGTGCTGAGGAGCCGGGGTTTGCACAGCCAAAACCTGAGCTGGGGCTGCCCAAAGAGAAACAGACTGTAAACTCAGATAATGCTCTGGAAATGTGGAGTCAGGGCAGTGTGAGTGCTGAGGAGCCGGGGTTTGCACAGCCTCAGCCAAAATCTGAGCTGGGGCTGCTCAAAGAGAAGGGGACTGTAAACTGAAATGGTGCTCTGGAAATATGGAAGCGACTTTAAACAAATGCTGAGAGAATAGGAATGATGGCACAAAGGGATGGATTGTCTCTTGACCCTCAGTCACAGCAGTGATAAATGCCAGCAGCACACACACCCCTGGTGAAGCTGTCACCGGGCACAGCCACTGCAAACCTGAGCAGTGTGGCAGAACTGACACTGTCCCTTGGGGCAGCAGCTCTGGGTGCCTCTGCAGGGACCCCGCAGCTCCAGGGGATGCAGGAGGAGCTGAGCCTGCCCCGGGCATTGCTCTCAGTCAATCCCTAGGAGGATTTCCCCCAAAATGTGAGGGCTGCCTGCCCACACAGGGCACGAGGAGCAGGGAAGGGCCCTGAGGGTCTGCAGGAGCCCTGTGCAGAGGAGGGCAGGCTGTGAGCCCCAGGACACACGGCTGAGCTGTGAGCAGGGCTGTGCTTGCAGAGATTCCTGTTCCCTAAGCATGACTCAGTTATCTCGTTTTCATTGACGACACCTCGGTGCAAATGGAAACTGCCTCTTCCCTCAGCAATTAGCCACTCTGCTCCTGCCTGTCCCAAAGCAATGCTTTGCTTATTTTTAACCTTGCAAAGAGGCTTGCTGCTCTCCGTGACGTGCTTGGTGCTATTTCTGTTCCCTGGCTCCTAAATCCATTAAGAAGGGGAATGCCTGCAAACTGTTCGGAAATCTCCTTAGAGCCTTTGAGGGGAATCACCAGATCCCTGCAGGTTCAGCAGCTCTTTTGTCACTCATTTCTCCAGGGCAGGTGCCCAGTGCCTGGCAGGCTGGGCCTCAGCTCACAGAGGTTATTCCACCCGGGATGGTGCCACAAGGAAAGCTCAATCCATTTTCCCCAGGGGATAAAACCGTGGGATTTTGCCTCCTGAAAAGCAGGTTTCATACCACCACAGCCATTCCAGTGAGGTCTGTGCACCCCTGCTCTGGACTGAGCTTGTTCAGAAGCTGCTGTTTCACACCAGCCCCTTTGCTCTTGGGAAGGGACAGGGACACTCAGGACTGCTGGTGCCCCCCAGCAGCAGCACTAAAGTCACGTCTGGCGCGTGGAGGGGAGGCTGCAGCTGCCTTGGCCCCATTGCTGAGTCATGCAGGGGCCTCCAGGATGGGCAAGGCTGGTGGTGCTGCAGCCCTGCAGCCACTGCAGGGCCGGGCAGTGCTGAGCTCTGAGCTCTGAGCTCTGAGCTCTGAGCTCTGCCCCTGCTCCTGCCCCTCCTCTGGGGGCTCTGCAGGATCCTCCTCCCTCCCTGCCCGGGGGGATGCACCTGCCTGTGTGATCCCTGCCTGGGAGGGAAGCTCCAGCTTAAGGTGCTATTTATGGCTGCGTCACCCGGAGCTCTGCAGGATCCTCCTCCCTCCCTCCCTGCCCGGGTGTGTGCTGCACCTGCCTGTGTGATCCCTGCCTGGGAGGGAAGCTCCAGCTTAAGGTGCTATTTATGGCTGCGTGCCTGAATGAAGAGTGCCACTGATCCTCCTGCCCCCGTTCCTGCACAGAGAGATCCCTAATCCCTCCCAAACTGCTGCTGCCGTCACAGCAAATCCCCCTGGTGGGTCCCAGGGAAAGGCTGGCTCAGTGATCGGGGAGGTTTCAGAGGAGCTCCCTGGGGAGGAGACACCTGGCAGCTGCCAGAGCCTGGCCACCAGTGCTGCCTACCCTGGAGACATCCCTGAGCCATCCCTGAGTCATCCAGAGCCACCCAGAGCCATCCAGAGTCATCCAGAGCCACCCAGAACCATCCCTGAGCCATCCAGAGCCATCCCTGACCATCCCTGAGCCACCCAGAGCCATTCCTGAGTCACCCTGAGCCATCCCTGACCATCCAGAGCCACCCAGAATCATCTGGAGCCACCCAGAGCCACCCAGAGCCATCCCTGACCATCCCGAGCCACCCAGAGCCACCCAGGCAAGGAGCTGCAGCCCTCAGGAGGGGACGTGCTGGGGCAGTGTCCCTGCTGCCCAGTGGGACACCCACCAGGGAGGTTTTCTGGGGAAGGGGCCCTGGAGCTCCTGTGGCACTGCCTGGGGCACAGGCAGGAGCCCCGGGCAGGGCTGCTGCTCATTGTGACCACGGGGGCACTGTGACCACGGGGTGTCAGTGGGGTGCTGGATGTCACAGGGGGGCAGAGCAGTGCAGGGCTTGGCCGTGGGGCAGGACTCACAGCCCTGGCAGGCAGCATGCAGCTGGGACAGGCTCTGCAGGACCCTGCTGCCCTGCCAGCCAGCTGCAGCGTGCCCCTGCCCCTGGCACCAGCTGCTCTGGGCTGTTTGCTGTCTGCAGGCACACCTGAGGGTTTCTGCTCCATCTCTTCCTCCTCCAGGCCTGGCCCTGGCTGCACAAACCCCTCTGACAGCTGCGGGTGAACCATCCCCATCCGAGGGTGCAGCTGCTCACCCTGATGTGGAAGCAGATTGTTCTGGGGTGTTTACCCGTGCTGGGATCAAAGGCAGCCTCACACTGCGGTGTGTTACATCACAGCAGGGCTCACACGGCTCCTTCTATGCCATAAAATCTGCTGGAGATCTT